CGCCGATTCGCCGATCCGGATCGGTTTTTGAAAAGCCCGATCCGGGTCACCGATCCGGTTTTTAAACCATTGATTACAACTATAACTTTGAATTTCTTTCCATCATCTTTTAAAGTATTTTTTACCTCTTCTATTGCCTTAGTCATTGCCTCATGTATGTAGTCCATGACGGGCTTCGCTTCATCATCTACCAATCGAAGCACTCTCACTAAAGGGCTTGCCACCTCCAATGCATGATATACTTGATCCCAAAAAGATGTATTAAAAATATTATGTTCAGCCTTTCTCCCATTCTGATGCTTTGATCACTTACTCCATTGCTCTAAAGCAAACATGGTCCTCTAGGCATTTCTTTGCTTGCATAGGCTTTGAAGAGTGAGAAATGATGTAGCAAATCTAGGGACACCCGGTCTCATTATATCTCACTTTTTTGTAAAACTCCTCATCATGCTAAGGACTATGGTGTGATCATAAATAAATCTAACAACAAACAATGCTTTTGAAATCACCCCACTAAATATAGATGTCGTACCCATTTCTTTAACCTTGAGATTAACACACTGAGCTGCATAAGGAGTCTAAAACATATGCCTCCTCAAAGTCAAAAGATGCCCAGTTACAAAGTAATTGGCACCATTGTCAGTGACAATTTGTACCACATGTTGCTTTTGAACAAATTCTAAAATCTTATCCATCAAGTCATATAAGTATGTAGCATCATGTGACTTGTCTGATGTATCAATAGACTTGTTGGACAATTAACCAAAAAATTAATAAATGCCCTTGACTTCATAATTGATCTTGCCCTATACTTCTCCCACCTTTTCTTTGCGAAATCAAAATTCTATTAACATCAGATACAACATCCATCAATAAGGGCTCCTTAATCTCATATAATGTAGGAGGATTAAGTCTTGGGCGAAATTGCCCTATTACCTAGACCACAGTACTATACATGCAAAACTATCGAGGGTTATAGTATTAAAGGAATGCCGGCCATATAAAACCACTTCGTAATGTACTTACATACTTTCTTCCTCTCTTCTTTCTTGTATCGATTTTAAATTTTAGTTTGTTTTGTTTTTTTCTTCCTCTCTTGAACTACAAATTTGGGGAGGAAAATGTATCCATTGGCCCCTTAGAGAGACTCGTTTTTTCCAACGCTACCACCAATATTTATAACCCTCTCCCTTGACCTTGGAGTATTCCTTTGCCTCATACCAACTTCTTTGCCTCATACCAACTTCTGATATATCGTCATCATCATCAAATAATTAAATTTCATGCATTAGTTCTTTCGTTTCATTCTCTTCTTTTCTTTTTGTTTTTTCAAGCTATCGATGTATTTTTTAATCTCCTTTTTAATATCTTCGGTAGCTTGTGACTATACTCTTACATTCCCAGAAATACAGCCAAGTGTTCTTTTAGTCGGAAAATACCCCCCAAATAAGTATTTTCACATAGTACAAATAACACAATTTCAGTTTTTCCGATATTTTAGTTTTGCATATTTCCAATCTGGATCGTTGTTATTAGAAGATTGTGAAGAAGACATTGCCTCCCCCCAAAAAGAAGTAATATAGTAAGAAATAAAAACTTACCGATTACTTGAAGAAAATAATGCTTTATTCTCGCTTGGAACTCCTAATTTGTTGTTGAAATTTTGCTAAAACTTCCTCAAATCAACACCAAAAATAAACTAATCAACAACCAAAGATCATCCAAGATGAAAATCCAAGATTTTCGAAAAAAATATTTCTGCTGCTTTTTTTTTGCTCGTTTTGATTTGATAAAGGCCATGGATGTGGCTGATGTTGGTGGTTTAATACCCCCAAACCCTTTCTCCCTCTTTTCGGGGGTGAAAAAGACAAATACCCATTTTCGAGGGTTTCTTTTTTCATCTTGCATGCAAGGTGCACAAGCGCCCTATGCGGCCGCATATGCGATGGGATGTGGTGGGATGCGGTGCATATGCGGGCGCATCCCACCAAAGTGCATAGACATTGTTTAGTGATGTGGTTGCCATCGTATCCCGCATGATGCGGTCGCATATGGGGCGATGCGGCCGCATTTTAAAACAGTCTGGAATTAATAATCACGTATTTTAAGGGGCCTACTTGGTTGTGTTGTTCTATCCCTGTGTGCCTTGCAAAAGCTCGAATGCTTGAGCACTATTAGTGTAATGCTATTTTAATGAGCTTTTAAAAAAGTTTTTTTTTTTCTATTTTTTGTTTTTTACTTTAGCATTGATAAGAAGAGAAGGGGTTGCTCTTGGGGATTGAACCTCCATCCTAGAACTTAAAAAACTTAAACTCTAACCAGTAATATCTTTTAAAGGTTTTTGATATAAATTTGCTATATTATATACTAATCTAAAACTAGCTTTTTAAGTATTAGAAAAGAAAAATAGCACTGCTGCGGTTTGAACCTTCGTCATCAGACCTAATACATGATATATCTAACCGCCAAAACAGTAGAAATCTTTTTGTTTTAATGTAGCCATACTTTGTCCTATATTTTGATGAAGTCACTTATTCTTAGTAGAAACCAGCACGATCTCCAACCGTTCCTGAATCAGATCGGGGATTTCCAATCTAGATCCATGATCCTTTAAACTCTGGCATGAAGCATTCCACTAAGGTACTAATTGAAAAATATTGATTGTTCATATGAAGGATTTGACTAAGTGAACAAAACGACATTGATTGTTCTTGTCACTACTAGTTTATATATAAAAAAAAGAAAGCTGAAAATACTAAAACTATGGAAGTCAACATTTTCCATAAATGGAATTACAAGGAAACATATAGAAATCAATTTTTATTTCAAACTAAAGGAATTCCAAAAATGCATAAAATCCCAACTATAGAACAATTTTTTCTTATATCATCATTTTCCATAGTTCCATTGAAGCATTAAAAAACCAAAAACGAAATAAAAAATAAATGCAAAAAAATAAAAATAAAAATAGATATCTATATGCAAAAAATAAAAAATACAAAATACAAAACCCCCATGATAGACAAATACCTGCTATATTAAAACCAAAAGCCTATTATATTGAATGCGAAAAAATAAAATAAAAAATACAAAACCCCCATGATAGGCAAATACCTGCCATATTAAAACAAAAAACCTATTATATTTAATGCAATAAGTCCGCAACACATCCCTAAAAGCCACCCTTTGCAAGATTTGAAGTTTGAACATAAATGCATTATTTTCAAAACTCCTAAAAAACCAAAATTCTTTTCTAAGTTTTCTAAACTATAAAACAGAAAACCAAAAATAAGTCAAACAAACTTACTTGGAGGTCAAAATATTGTGATATGTGTAGTCAGCCCTAAACTAGTCGGGTAGAGAGAGCGCACAAATCCCCAATCATGCTCTCTGGCTCTCTAGAAGGTTAATTTTTAAACCCCAAAACCACCTAAACTTCACTAATTACTGAAACTCCCCTAACTAATGTTGGAGAAGACCGAAAAGCCATGCCAAAATAGGCTAAAATTAATGGAAAAATTTAAAAGCAGGCACCGCTGGATTTACTTAGCAAGATCGTGACTGGCTGTTTGGTCTGGATCAGTAGAATCGATTGGTCCTGCCATTGAATTGGACATTAGTTATTTCAGTGCCGGTTCAATAGGTCCACCAGTTCAGGAACCCTGATCCGACTGACGGGCACATCAATTCCCTGTTCGATTGGTCAAAATCTGCTGGTATGGTCCGATTTTCGTAACATTGTTCTGTTATACTTACTGCTCTGTTCTACTCGTGGTAAATTGTATTATGCATAATGCATAATTCTACTTTGTTTGTAAAGGTTTGCTTTTTCACATGAGGCTGCACATCATGCTTTATTTTGACTCCGGTTACCTGACAACTGATTCCTTTTATGCTGCATGTTGCCTCTGAATCAAATAATTTTCATGTTCCTTTTAATTAAAATGGTTATTGGGGACCTTTTCTTTTTCCAGGATGTCCATTTTTTCTGAAGTGGATTACAAAAGCTTTATTGCTGTTCTTATGTTTGAGGCATGCAGACTTTACTCCTCATTATCTCCATGTTTCAAATTCTTGGGAATTTTCTATGCATGCCTAGTTTCAGAATCTAAACTTGGCTCCTATTTTGCTTCCACATAGAACGAGCTTTGAGCAGCGTACTTTACGGCCACATGATGTGCCTAATGGAGGTCTGACTTTGAACCACACGAAGCAGCGTAAAATGGATGAGGCTTCTCATGGAGAGCAAAATTGTCCTAGAAGTTTAATCTTGGATTCAGAAAGGTGCAGCACAAGCTTTGAACAAACAACTAAGGAGGAAGTTCCATCAATAGGAGTACACTCTCTTGAAATCGAACGGTTGACTCCTGCACCTATAGATCCTGGATACGCTGGCCCTAATTCTGGAATAATTGGCAGAAATACAGCCTCCAAAGGGAACTCTAGCAGGCAAGAGTGGAAAGGAAAGAAAGTCGCTTCACAAGTGGGAAGCAGGAGTTATTTTCTGCGATCTTCATCAAATGGCGTTCGAGTTCTTCGCCCTAGGTCTATTGGAACTAGCAAAACTTCCCCTGCTGCAAGTTCTAAATCATCGCCCATCATGCCTGAAAGAAGAAAGAGTAGAAGAGAAAAGCGTAAATTAAAGGAAGTCTTGTCCAATGATGAATACTCAAGAACCAGGAAAAGTGTAAGATATTTATTGGCTAGAATAAACTTTGAGCAGGGCCTAATTGATGCTTACTCTGGGGAAGGATGGAAAGGACAAAGGTTAGTGAGCACTATGGCTTTACTTCCTCACTTGTGCTTCTTATATTACTTCTCAATTACTTCCACCGAAGTTGGAAATTCGATTTCAAATTATTATATTTGAGGACCAACACTGAATGTTTAGATTGAAATTTCAGTTGAGATGCAGAATTTAAAACGTAATATGAAATAAAAAAGGAGAAGGAAAATGTATAAAATGAATTCGGCTTACAGTGATTTAAAGCCATTGATTTTATGCTGACTTTAAGATGAGGCTCATGCAAAAAAATTAACAATCAACCTGGAAACCAGTTATTGTATGCTTTTATTGAAATTTGAGTTTTCTTTATAAGAGAAGAGGGTGAATTTTGAAAGGAACTTTCTGGTTAATTATATAAAATGATAAAAATTCAGAATTTTTTGGAGTTTGTTAGAACCTCACTGTATTAGGGGTGATATAAAACTTGAATAAGTATTTGGCCAGTTTGGTAACAAATGACAAATAACTTATTCTGATGTGGCTAACTTTGGCAATAAGTTTGGTTTTATGGCCCTTTTGGATCCTAGGATTTGCTATCAAGGACATGCGCTAGAAGATGCACATTAAAATTTTCGGGCCTATATCCTGGATACGCATATTTCCAAAAGTCCTCACATCCTGGATATGCCAATTTAAAAAGAAAAACAAAGCTGGAATTGGCATATTATGGATTTGCTAATTTGAGCTTTTCATCGGGAAGCCTACCCGAGCTTTTCATCGGGAAGCCTACCCGACCGTTACTGCAACTCGCTTCTCTCTTCTCCATTGATGACCTCCCTCTCTCTCTCTCTATCTCCTCCCTTCAAAGACTTCTTTCTCTTTCCTCCATTGAAAAGATCTCTTTTTCTCTCCTCCATTCAAGATGCTCTGCAACTCTCCTCCATTTTAGATGCTCTGTGACCCTTCTCACTTAAAACACTAGGTGTGCAACCTCACTGACTCTTTGTCCACCATTATTAAACTTTTTCTCCCTCCCCCCTCCTCCTCCTCCTCTCTCTCTCTCTCTCTCTCAATTGGTTGTCTCCTCTTTGAGATCTCTCGCTGACTCGCGCCTTTCTTGCAGCATACTCCCTCTTCCTCTTTCTTTCTACACTTGCCCTTCTTTCTTCCCCTCATTCTTCTCTCAGAGCCCTCACGAAATACCTAATCTCTCCACTATCCTTTTTCTCCCATTCTCTGTTAGGGCACCTGATAGCGTTCTAATACCCTTAGTCTCTGCATCTTTGCAACTCCTAGAAGGCCCTCAATTCTTTTCCTGTTGTATTTGTTCTCAGACCTCGAAGACCCTCATTTTCCTCAACTCCTGGCAGACTGTCATTTATTTGAGATGTTCTGCACAATGGGACTTTTTGGTTACATTTTAATGACAATAAACCATTCATATTCTGTTTACAAGATTTTCTACATTTTTTTTGCTGCAAATTTCTGAAATTGGCAAATCTAGGATTTATAAATAAATGATTCTATCAAGGATATGCATATCTTGGATTCCATCCAAAACTTAAACAACGAACATTGTCCCAATATGGGGGATCTGTATTTCCCAGGATTGGCATATCTTGGAAATGAATAAGATCTAGGATTTGCGTATCCAGGGAGCTAAACAAGCCATTGCTGCTTATGTATTATTTGGATGTTGACTTCCACCTACTGAATTCAATGTTGACTTTCCGCACTCCGCAGAATTTCAGTTAAAGTTCATTATGAAGATTTCTACCACTACCAGCACTTCTTTTATGAATTTATTGTTTTCTATATTTATGAATTTACAGTTTCAAAAAAAAAAAAGAAAACAGTTTCAAAAAATATCCTTTGAATTTATATATGTCTGAGGGAATATTTAACTGTATAAACTTTATACATTATTTAATGACCAAAAAATTGGCAGCTCATAATCCAGGGGCTGTACATCATGATAAGTTAGAAAAGAATGGGGGCATACCAGGCTCCATAATAAAAAATAAGACTGTTCATCATGGAAATAAATAACACTTGTGCAGAGGCAGAAAAGAAAGAGGAAGAAGCAAGACGAAGGTGGGAGGAAAGAGAGAAAGAGGTGAAGATAGGTCTATTGGTTTTGGATCTAGCTACGCATGTGGGACACCTTTTTGGCCCCCAATTTTGGAAAAAATGGATTCGGCCACCTTGGCAGCAAGGGGTTTGGCATGCCCAGGCTGCAGGCAGGCACCTAGTTCCCTAGGCAGGCTGTCAACGTAGTTGGGGTTTCTAGGCCCCAAGTATGGTGTTTCAGGGGTTGGTCTGGAAACCAAACCCCCACAAATTGATTCTTCAGAAATACAAGCAAAAAACATTATTTAAGTCCCTGATACATCATACTTATCAATTTTTGAATTTGAAATTGAATTACTAAAAGTCTAAACTATAAATGATCAAAAGGTGCCCATTTCCCATAATCAACACTCTACCTTATCAGTACATCATTGCCTACAAACAAAGAGTCACAAAACATAAGTTACAAGTCTTACATAACCGATAAAATTCATCATTCCGACTCCATAGTCTAACATTGCATTAAATATGATGAACTCAATTGGCAACTGAGTTTCATCATCGCTGCCAACAATGTCTACCTCTCCATCAACACCACATGCATGTGGTGAAGATGATTTCATGCCATCATCATTAGAGTCGTCTCCCTCCTCCACAAGTTCTTCCTCTTTCCCAATCTTTTGTGAATCTGCCTCCTCCTCATCCTCCTCCCTCGCTCTCCTCAATCTCTTCCCTTAATATTGAGATCTTGTGACTCTCGCGGGGCTTAATTGGCTTCCAGTTGCCTCACAAACTTGGCTCCAAGTCAAGTCCTCTCCTTCACATTTAGGATCATCTCCAGCATTGATCAACCACTCACATGTGTCATCCGTATGTTTGATAGTGATGGGGTTGATGGTACCCTTATCTGTTGGGATTAAGTTTATTCGCATTTTATTAAGATTGGGTGACCCAATCTTAAAAAATGAAATTAAACACGAGAAAAACCCTTTATAGAATATGGGCTACAAACCCAAACATAAACTGATAAAAAAATGTTACAAGAACAGTTAACAAAAAACCAAAATAAGAAAAGAAAATCACATTATTGGCTCTTTTACGATCAAGAGACAGATATAAGGCCAACTGACCAACCAATAAACTAGAAAAAATTCCATTTGGATTAAGTTTCATGAAATTTTATCAAGATTGGGTTACCCAATCTTAACAAAATACCCTTAATCAGAAACCCAAACCCGCTCTTGAATATGGGCCACAAATTCAAACATAAACTTGGAAAAGAATATAAGATAAAAAAATAATACTAAACCCAATTTTCACATAAATCAATAAACCGTAGACAGAAGATTTAAACACGATGCAATAGATCTTGGCTTGAATCAATTACCGTTGGTTGCTAGGAGCAAATAAGGCTAAGAGTCTTCAAGGCCCATAGGATAATATTGCTAGGTCTCCCTCGACTATGAGGTTATTGCTGTGGATTTCAGTTTGGATGATCGTTTCTAGTCCTTCGAGTAGGGCGATTGCCTTCTCCATTATCGAGACAACAATGCCAATGTAGCATGAGAAGGAAAAAATAGTGTTTTCTTGGGGATCCGAAGAACAACAATCTTTGCTAAGTTGAGGGAGCCATGTTTCAAGGGGGTGTCCAAAGGCTTGATGTAGTGTTTTCCGTTGACTGGGGGATGTCTCTCCAGCTAGTAACAAGGTCTGATATTGAGAACGTGTGGATGCCTTTGTAGCTTTTTCTCAAAAGATGGTGGAAGCTTTGATGCGATCTTGGATGGCTTGAAGGGTGGATGACTTCTCCTCAAAAGCATATTGCTGTTTCTTTCGCTAAGAAGGAAGAGCGCTGAAGAAATACTCAGTTGTAGGGCAGTGGGATAAAAGGAGGTTTGAAGAGCTGCTTGATCAAGCATGGTAGCAAAAGGATTGAAGCGAGATGATCCACAGCCTTAAAATCATCTCACAGTGAAGTAAAAGATGTCGAGCATTTCCTTCTCCTTTTTTTCCCCAATGATGCAATGGTTAGGGATTTGAAAATCCCTTTGTTGGAGCTGATCGATGTTTAAAGGCCCAATTGGATAGGACTAGCCATTTGAAGGCTTGTATTTTGTGAGGGACCTGTTTGTAACACGGGGGAGGGGCAGCATGGGTTAAGAGCTCTATTGAAGGATGAGGCGATGAATTTTCTGTTGGTGTAGGGTCCAGATAATAGTGTCCGAATGCCTCCGAGGCTAGGAAGAAGGCTTGGCTTGGATGAGGTGGGGTAGGGTGGTTAGGTTTTCTTTTTTGTGATTTGAGATTGTCCTTTGGAAAGTGAGGTTCCACATAATTGTCCCTAATTCAGAGGAAAGCAAATGTGGCATCAAAAAGTGGTGCAATTCTCACTATGTTTGGCCAAAAGTTGCCAAGGGTTGCATCCCGGAGCCAATTGTCCTTCTAGAAATGGATTCTTTCCCTATATTTGACTCCAAATTTTACTAGTCTCCATGCACTTAGATCAACTTTTTCTGATGTTCTTCCAAGCCCCAAAGACGCATTGATGGGGGTTACTCCGCAGAAACCAGTCCGAGTTGTCCAATCCTTATTTTTCCTGAAGCATCGGTTGCCATAAGAAGTTTTCTTGCATCAGTACCAACCACCACCATTTGCCTAAAGTGGCTTGGTTGCAGCCTCGTAATTCCCTAATACCCAATCCACCATCTTTTTTTAGCGAGCATACTTTCCCCTGCTATAAGAAATCCCTCATTAGGCGCTCCATCTTAGGCTCCATTGGAAGCAAGCATGTGGAATAGATGTTTGGAGGATTGCAACGTTGGAGGTGGTGACTTTAATAAGGCCAAAGGTTGCCAAGGGTTGCATCCCGGAGCCAATTGTCCTTCTAGAAATGGATTCTTTCCCCATATTTGACTCCAAATTTTACTAGTCTCCATGCACTTAGATCAACTTTTTCTGATGTTCTTCCAAG